AAATGGATCAAAGACCTTGGAGTCAAAGAAGACACTCTGAAAACAGGATGCAATAGGAGAAACCCAGGTCTCCTTGGCACAGGCCGAAATTTTCTTAATAGAGACCCAGAAACACAACAAATAAAAGAAAGGTTGGACAAATGGGATTGCATGAAATTGCAGAGCTTCTGCATGACAAAGGGTATAGCTAGCAAGATCAATAGAAAGCCCACAGATTGGGAGAAGATCTTAACTAGCCATACAACAGACAAGGGTCTCATATCTAAAATATACTTGGAACTCAAAAAATTAAATCCCCCAACAACAAATCTTCAAAGAAACAACTGCCCAATAAATAAGTGGGCTAAAGACTTAAAGAGAAACTTCTCTGAAGAAGAAAGAAGGATGGCCAATAGACACATGAAGAAATGCTCAACCTCCCTAGCCATAAAAGAAATGCAAATCGAAACAACATTGAGATACCACCTCACCCCTGTTAGAATGGCTAAAATCAAGAACTCTAATAACAACAGATGCTGGAGGGGATATGGACAGAAAGGAACCTTACTGCATTGTTGGTGGGAGTGTAAACTTGTTCAACCACTTTGGAAAGCAGTATGGAGGTTCCTCAAAAGACTCCACATAGAGCTCCCCTATGACCCAGCAATCCCACTTTTGGGCATTTACCCTAATATTCACAAACAAGACCACACTAAAGCTACTCACATGACGATGCTTATTGCAGCATTATTTACTATAGCTAAGATATGGAACCAACCCAGATGCCCCTCAGTAGATGAGTGGATCAAGAAAATGTGATATATATACACAGTGGAATTCTATGCCTCCATCAGAAAGAATGACATTGCCCCATTTGTTAGGAAATGGAAAGACTTGTTAAAAATTGTATTAAGTGAAGTAAACCTGGCCCAAAGAAACATAGGTCCCATGGTTTCCCTTATTTGCAATAACTAGTATATGTCTGAGTCAAGCAGAAAAGGTCAAATAAGTTGATGTTAGGGAAATGAACCCTAAGATATGTATTCAAATGTTTTTTTTCTTTCATGTGATTGTTTCTAACACATTTATAAGATTATTTCTTTGTTGCTTTGTATGTCCCTCCCCCACGGTATAACCCCTGCTTTCACTGTATTTGATATCGGTATAATTTGTGGAGGGGAAAAGAAACAAATCGTTTAAATAGGGATACAGGTGGACCCAGTGCATAAATGAGATGTACAATTCGTTATTTTGAAAACGAACTTTACAACTTTGATGCTGGGGTGGGGGGGGAGAAGGATTGGGTGGCGGTGTCGGGGTTGCCGATGGGAAGGGATGGGAAGGGGAAACAAAGGAGGAGGCTACAATGCTTGATAAGAAATGTACTCATTACTTTGCCCATGTAATTGTAACCCCTCTGTACAGTATTTTCACAATTAAAAAAAAAAAAAGACTTCAGTCTTTCTTAAGCTAGAATTTATATCATGAAATTTCACAGTAAAGTCCAGAGATAATGGCTTCTTGGTGGGCCCAGATTTTGGGTAAATAAAGTTAATTGCATAAAGCTTCTTTCTTCCCTGGGGTGGGAAATCCTGAGAGAGGGAAGTGGAAACTTAATTCTGAGGTATGCTCTACATGGCAGAGCATCACTGTGGGCTACTGTTTTGTCAGTCCCAGTGCTGGCAATGAACAATCCTAGAATGAAATGAGGAAAATAAAAGTAAAAGCTTACAACAGAAAACAAGAAACTTTCTAGGCTCATGAATTAGAATATTCACTATTAATCCAGTGCTGAAATCTGAAGTTTAAGGCTTGACACCGTCCAAGCAGGAAAGTCTATGAGACTCTTTCATCTCCAATCAACCAGCAAAAAGACAGACGTTGAGGTGTGGTTCAAGTGTTAGAGCATCAGCCTTAAAAATAAAAACCCAGTATGAACACAAAGAAGAAAGAAAACTCACTTTTGTTAACATGACAGATTAAGCAACAAATTCAACACTATCCCAATCAAAATTTGAGCTGAGTATCAGTGGCTCACATCTGCAATTCTATTTACTTGGGAGACAGAGATTGAGAGGATCTAGGTTCAAAGGTAGCCAGCAAAAAAGTTTTTTCAAGACCCCATCCTAAATTATTGCTGAGCTTAGCAGTATATACTTATTATTTCAGGCTCCAGTGTGAAGCTTAAATATAAAGGCTTGTTTCAGTCTGATTCAGGTAACAGCAAGGCCCTATTGTAAAAATAACCAGAACAAATAGAACTGTAAGCATGGCTCAAGTAGTAGAGTACCTTGCTTTTAGCAAGTGCAAAGCCCTGAGGTCAAACTCCAATACCGCTGGGTGGTGGTAGCTCACGCCTATAATCCTAGCTACACAGGAGGCTGAGATCTGATGATCACAGTTCAAAGCCAGCCCTGGCAGGAAAGTCTGTAAAACTCTTATCTCCAATAAACCACTAGAAAACCAGAAGTGGCGCTGTGACTCAAGCAGTAGAGTGCTGGCCTTGAGCTGAAGAGTGCAGTGCAGGGACAGCGCCCAGGCCCAGAGTTCAAGCCCCACGACTGACCAAAAAAATAAAAAAACAAAAAACAAAAAATAACTCCAGTACCACCAAAATAAGAAAAGTATCAAGCAGGTTTGCTTTATGAGTTATATATTTTGCAGAGCTTAAGAAGCTAACCCTAAAATTTATATAGAAGTACAAAAGATTAAGAACCAAAACATTTTTTAAAAGAACCAATTTGAGAAACAATATACTTCTACCATCAAAACTTACCATAGAATGGATCAAGAAAATGTGGTATATATACACAATGGAATTCTATGCCTCCATCAGAAAGAATGACATTGCCCCATTTGTTAGGAAATGGAAAAACTTGGAAAAAATTATATTAAGTGAAGTAAGCCAGGCCCAAAGAAACGTAGGTCCCATGGTTTCCCTTATTTGTAATATCTAGTATATGTATGAGTCAAGCGGAAAAGGTCAGATAATGTGATGTCAGGAAAATGAACCCTTAGATGTGTATTTTAATGTTTTTTTCTTTCATGCATGTGTTTCTAACACATTTATAAGATTATCTCTTTGTTGCTTTGTATGTCCCTCCCCCACAGTATAACCCCTGCTTTCACTATATTTGATGTCAGTATGACTTGCGGAGGAGATGGGGAAAAACCAGTTGTTTAAGGATACAGGTGGACCTGTTGCAACAATGAGAAGTACAAGTTGTCATGTCCAAAACGAGCTTTACAACGTTGGTGTGGGGGGGGGGGGGAGGAAGGAGAAGGATTGGGATTAGGGGGGGAGGGGGGGAGGCTGGGAAGGGATGTGAAGGGTAAACAAAGGAGGAGGCTGCAATGCTTGGTAAGAAATGTACGCATTATCCTGCCCATGTAACTGTAACTCCTCTGTACAGTATGTTCACAAATAAAATTAAATTAAATTTAAAAAAAAAAAAAACTTACCATTAATCTGCTATTAAGATAGTGTAATACTAATGTATACAAAGATCAACAGAACATAACTGAGAGCCCATGGAAGAAAAATTAACTTATTAGGCTGGAGTTATGGCTCATTTGCGTGTTAGCCAGTGAGCAAAAGTGTTAGGTACCAAGTTCAAATAACTATCTTGAATCAAAAAAGGAACAGAAGGGCTGGGAAGGTGGCTCAGTGGTACAGCGCTTGCCTTGCATGCCTGAGGCCCTGGGTTCAATTCCTCAGCACCACATCAGGAAAAACAAAAACCAGAAGTGGGGCTGTGGCTCAAGTGGTAGAGCGCTAACCTTGAATTGAAGAGCTGAGGAACAGAGCCCAGGCCCAGAGTTCAGGCCCCACGACAGGACCACCCCCCCCCCCAAAAAAAAGAAGCTCAGGGGCAGAGCCCAGGCCCTGAGTTCAAGTCCCAGGACTGGCAAAAAATAAACAAAAAACAAAAAAAGAATAGGAAAATAAAACCTTGTGGGGCTGGGAAGGTAGCTTAGTGCTTGCCTTGCATGCTTGAGGCCTGGGTTTGATTCCTCAGCACCACATAAGCAGAAAAAGCCAGAAATAGTGCTATGGCTCAAGTAGTACAGCACTAGCCTTGAGCTGAAGAGCTGAGGGACAGCGCCCAGGCCCACAGTTCAGGCCCCATGGCCAACACCAATAACAACAACAAAAAAAGAAACACCATAAATGGTCAACTTATTTGACAAAGTGCCAAGATAATTCAGTGAAACGATAATCCTCTCCCCTGTAAATTGAAAAGTTAGATTTACACCAACACCTCACACTGCAAACTCAAAAGAGATCATAGACCTAAATGTAAGATAAAAAGACCTCCTATCTAAGAAAAGCCCATGACCAGATGGATTCACAGCTGAATTCTACAAAGCCTTCAAAAGACGACTCACTCCAATACTCCTCAAATTCTTTAATGAAATAGAAAGGGAAAGATCATTATCAAATTCATTCTGTGAAGCTAGCATAACCCTCATCACAGAACCAGACAGGGACCATCAAAGAAAAAGCATCACAGACCCATCTCTTTGATGAACATGGATGCAAAACTTCTAAATAAAATTCTGGCCAACCAAATTCAACAACTAACCAAAACAAGATCAAATGGGATTCATTCTAGGGATGCACAGCTGGTTCAATAAACACAAATCAATTAATGTAATTCAACACATTAACAGGAGCAAGGACAAGAATCACATGGTCATATCAATTGATTCAGAAAAAAGCATTTGACTAGATCCAATACCCCTTTATGATGAAAGCTCCGGAAAAGCTAGGAATTCCACGGAACATTTCTCAATATAATAAAGGCTGTATATGACAAACTTACAGCCAGCATTATATTTAATGGTGAAAAGTTAAAACCATTTCCTCTAAAATCAGGAACAAGACAAGGATGTCTGTTATCTCCATTCCTCTTCAATATAGAACTGAAATTCATCAAAATTAAAACCTTTTATACTTTAAAAACAGTATCATTAGTAAAATCAACAGGTAAACTGTTGACCCTTTAAAAGACATTTAAATGCTCAGTTTGGAAGCACATATACTAAAATTGGAACAAATTAGAGATTAGCATGGCCAGACACAAGGATGACCTACTAATTGGTAAAGCATTTCATATTTTAAAACAACATATAAATAAATAAATAATACTTAAATGGCCAGCAGGAACATAAGAAGATGAAAAATCTTTTAGAGAAATGTAAAGTTTTTTTTGTGTGTGCTAAAACCTGGGCTTAACCTTTGGGCTCTACATTCACACTTGGATTTTGCACTTAATGGTGGTGCTCTAACACTGGATCCACAGCTCCACTTTCTGCAAATTAAAATTTATAATGGGTTCCATTTTAAAGATCAACAAGTGGTAGCAAAGATGCACAGCAAAAAAGTGTCACATGCCACTGAATGGAATCTGATACAAATTGACAGATTTTGACAAATAACTTGAAAATTCAAGAGTTAACCATTTGTACCCAAAAGAACTGACATAGTCCATACAAAAATGTATATACCAACATTCATAATAACTTCATTTAGAATGGCCAAAACTAAAGAAAAAAACAATGCCTATCAACACAAAAGTGCTAGGTCCATATGTGGAATACTGTGCAAAATAAAGGAAAAGAGCTATAAATATATCCAATAAATTACAAAAACAGACCTTATAATACTTATGCTGAGTGAAAGAAGCCAAATAACAATACATACATACATATATAAATAGATATACACACACTGTATAATGCTATTTAAAATTCCAGAAACACAATCTATAATGATAGGAAGCAGATTTGTAGTTGCCTTGAGATTAGTCAGGGAAATTAAATAACTAAAAAAATGTTTACTAAGGTACCTAAAGAAACTACTTGGAATGTGGACAATATTTATTAATTTTTACTAATTTCAATACTTTTGTCGGTTTTTTTTTGTTGTTGTTGTTGTTTTGGGTTTTTTTGGTCCTGGGTCCTGAACTCTGGGCCTGGGTGCTGTCCCTCAGCTCTTCAGCTCAAGGCCAGCACTCTACCACTTGAGCAATAGTGCCACTTCCAGCTTTTTCTGCTTATGTGGTGCTGAGGAATTGAACCCAAGGCCTCATCCATGAGGAGGCAAGCATTCTACCACTGAGCCACCTTCCCAGCCCTAATTCCAAAACTTTTAACAAGTGTATTTTTAAAAAGTTCAGTTTGCTGAACTTAAACTTCATGAAATGTTGTTTTGTTTTTTGGTTTCTTTTTTTTTTTTTTTGGTCAGTCGTGGGGCTTGAACTCTGGGCTTGGTCAATATCACTGCGCTCTTCAGCCCAAGGCGTGCACTCTACCGCTTGAGCCACAGCGCCACTTTTTTTTTTTTTTTTGCCAGTCATAGTGCCTGAACTCTGGGCCTGGGCGCTGTCCCTCAGCTCTTCAGCTCAAGGCTAGCACTCTACCACTTGAGCCACAGCACCACTTCCAGCTTTTTCTGCTTATGTGGTGCTGAGGAATCGAACCCAGGGCCTCAGGCATGCAAGGCAAGCGCTCTACCACTGAACCACCTTCCCAGCCCCCTTGTTTTGTTTTTTGTCAGTCATGGGGCTTGAACTCTGGGATTGGGTGCTGTCCTTGTGCTCTTCAGCTTGAGGCGACCATTTGAGGCACTTCCAGTTTTCTAGTGGTTTATTGGAGATAAGAGTCTCATTGGGCTGAGAAGGGGGCTCAGTGGTAGAGTGCTTGCCTTGCATGCATGAGGCCATGGGTTCGAATCTTCAGCACCACAAAAGCAAAAAGAAAAAAGCCGGAAGTGGCACTGTGGCTCAAGTGGTAGAGCGCTAGCCTTGAGCTGAAGAGCTGAGGGACAGCGCCCAGGCCCATAGTTCAGGCCCCACGACCGGAATCAAAAAAAAAAAAGAGTCTCACCTACTTTCCTTGCCCGAGCTGGCTTTGAACTGTGATCCTCAGATCTCAGCCTCCTGAGTAGCTAGGATTACAGGTGTGAGCCACCGGCACCCGGCTCTCATGAAATGTTTTAAATTATCTGAACAAAGAAAAAAAACCTAAAAGAACAAAAAGAATTACATGACACTATTATTTTCTAAACAAGAGGTAGGATTAGTTTATTATTGGATAAAACCTGTAGAGACAGAAATTTGTATACTTTGTGTTTGTGTATGTGTGTGTGAAAAGACAAAAATTTGCATACTCTGTGTGTGCGTGCGTGCGTGCGTGCGTGCGTGCGTGCGTGCGTGCGTGCGTGTGTGTGTGTGTGTGTGTGTGTGTGTACTAGGGCTTAAACTGCAGGTCTGGTGTTCTCTCCAAACTATTTTGCTCAGGGTGGGCACTCTATCACTTGAGTGATCACTCTACATCCACCTTCTCAATTGTTAACTAAAGATAAGGGTCTTTCAGTATTGTCTGTCCTGGATGGCTTTGAGCTGTGATTCTCAGATATCAGCCTTCAGAGTAACTAGAATTATAGGCCTGAGCCACCAGTATCTAGCTTGAATAGATACTTTAAGTTTTAAAAGAGTATAGGAGTGACAACATTTTGTTGATCATGTGGATATTAGTAGTTGAAAGGAAGGAAGGAACTAAGGACAACTTTTATTTTGATTTTTGCAGCAGTGTGAAAAGATGTCATTTAGTAAGACAAGAATAAGATTGCAAGTTTATTGCATTACTAAGTATGGTTGAAACTGCTTTTACAAGTTTAATGGGTTTGGAAACAAGGAAGCAGGGTTTATATACACACATTAAGAAAATAAGAGTGGGATTCTGCTCAACTACCTACCATACATAGAAAAGAGAAATCAACCTGTGTATGATATGGAAAAGGAAGTAACTCCTGAAGACAAAAAAGGTATAAAAATGTCATTATCTAAAGTGCTTTTAAATCTAAATGAATGGGACATATATTCATATGAGAAAATAATTCCTTAGGGGATTCAATATGGTAAAACAGACACCCAGCCCTCATCTACTTTACCACAGAGAGAACAAAGTTAACAAGAGCTATCTGAAATTTGAGCTGAAAGACTATGGGAAAACCGTAGAAATCATCAGGAAAATCTAAAATCTGTTAAGATCTATATACTTAAGGTAAAAGCATTGAAAAAGAAGCAAAACCTGGTATCCTAAAGTAAAAGAAAGTCCTAGAAAACTTTATCAGTGTGGATGCTGGCAATACTAGTTATAAGAACAGCTGGGCATCAGTGGCTCATGACTTCAATCCTGGCTACTCAAAAGTCTGAGATCTGAGGACTAAGGTTCAAAGTCAGACTATGGAGGAAAATCTATGAGACTCTTATCTCCATCCAATGAACCACCAAAATATAGAAGTAAAGCTGCTCAAATGACAGAGCAAGCCTTCAGTGAAAAATATTAATCAAGATTGTGAGGCCTTGAGTTCAAGCCCTACTACCAAGCTATACACATACACATACGCACGCACACACACACACACACACACACACACACACACACACACACACACACACACACACACACACAAAATGACAAAAGTCCAGTAAATCCAATTAAATATGAGCAAACTATCTGAATAGGAATTTCTCAAAAGAAAAAATAGAAAGTCAACAAATCTATGAACAAATATTCAACTCTTATTAGACCTCAGAAAAATGCAAATCAAAACTAGAATGATTACTACCCCACCACTGTTAAATAGCTATTGTATTTTTTAAAAAATACATTGAGTAAGATGTAGAGAAACAGCAATTCTTAAACCCTGTGGAAAAGCAAATTATTACTGCAATTATAAAAACAATGTGGAGATTCCTCAAAATGTACCAAATGATCTAGCTCCCTAACTTCTTGGTACACATCTAAAAGGAACCAAACAGCATACAATAGACATATCTGCACAGATGTGTTTATTGTGGCACTACTCATAGTAGGTTAGATTAGGGAATCAGCCTCGGTACTCAGGAAAGAGAGGTATATAATCAAGAGACAAATCCTGTCATTTGCAGTGAAATGGATGGAACTGTAGGACATTATGCTAAGTGAAATAAGACAGCTATTCTCTTTCATATGTGAATGCTAATAAAATAGAGTATTGCTGGAAATTAGGAAGGATGACTAGAAGGGTATTTGGAATGAGGAAGAATTTGATGCAATATATCTGTATGGAAAAATCATGCTAGAGCTCATTAGTACATACAATATATTAAATATAATTTGAAAGACAAAATTAAAATATTGTAAGTAAATGATATACTTTACTGAGTGTTTTATTTCTACAAATTTACTTAGGTGACCTTATACTTCTAACTAAAAATATATCCCTTTAAAGCAAATTAATACTGAGCATACAGAATTCTACAACTTCTTTATTTCCTTGGCATCTTTTCTTACCTTTGTAATTGTCCAAATAATGTTCCATAGTGTGCTATTTTATATGATGAATGGGGAATATCTTGACCATCATTTAATTTGGAAACCAAGGAATCAGAAGAATTAAATTTACTGAGCTGAAAAAATGGAAGAAAATGTCAAAATAGTAAATGTACATATAAATTATTTACCAAAGGTGACATTTATGAATTACATCCATATTAAAAACATATTTAAAGCAGGCACCAGTGGCTCATGTCTGTAACTTAGCTCTTCAGGAAGCTGAGATCTGAAGACCACGGTTCAAAGCCAGCCCAGGCAGAAAAGTCTGTGAGATCTTTTTCTCTATTAACCATCAAATAAGTCAGTTGTGAAGTTGTGGCTCAAGTGGTAGAATACTAGCTTTGAGTTGAAAAAAAAAACTCAGGCTCTGAGTTCAAGCCCCAGGATTAGTACAAGGACCCCAAAAAAAAAAAAAAGTAATTTTAGTTCTTTTGAAGTCCAAAATAAACACTTTTCTAAAAATAAAATGTAAGTGGCGCTGTGGCTCAAAGCACTAGAGCACTAGTCTTGAATGAGAAATCTCAGGGACAGCATCCAAGCCCTGAATTCAAGCCCCATGACTGACCAAAATAAAAATAAAATGTAGTGTTTTAATAACTAATATTGGAATTTACATTGTGTTGAACAAGATCCTGATTATCAAAAAGCTAAATTCCTCTAACAGAGAAAAGTTCTTCCACTTATTCAATTTCCTCCATGCAAAATTCAATTTCCTCCATGCAAACCACAACAGAAGCCACAGTTAATAGTGAATGAAATGGAAAATAGAATATCAGATACTGAAGACAAAATGCAGGCACTGGAGGGAAAAAGTTACAGATATAGATAAAACACTCAAAATATGCCCAAGAGATGCCCAAGAACAAGCAGACAGTTCCAAGAAATTTAACCTTCTTATAATTGGTGTGGATGAAGGGGAGGAATATCAGAATAAAGGAATGCAACGCTTATTCAGTAAGATCATCACTGAAAATTTCCCGTCTTAAAAGAGAAGATCTTACCTACATAACAGAGGCTTATAGAACACCTATCAAGCAGGATCCCAGGAGGAACAGTGTTGGTACATTATAGTAAAAATTCTAGATTTTAGCAATAAAGAAACAATCTTGCATGCAGCAAAAGCAAAGAAGAAGCTATACTAAAATGAGAAAGAATATGAAGAAGGGGACTACAATCTGAAGAAATCAATCAAAAAAAAGTGAAAAAAAAAGAAATCAATCAAGATCAATCCATACCAGATAGATATCCATACCAGATAGATAAACACAGGAGGAAAAAAGAAAAACTTAGGAAAGTAGAAAAATGACAGGAAGTACAATACAGCTCTCTATAATAACAATAAACATTAATGACTCAATTAATGAATCAAAAGAAAAAGAACTGAAGATTGGATCAGAAAACAAGGTCCATCCCTTTGCAGTCTTGATTCAAGAGACTCACCTCACACCCAAAGAAAAAGGCAAACTCCGAGTGAAAAGATGAAGAATATCTACCATGCAAATGCTCTCAGCACGAACACAGGAGTTACCATTCTGATATATGATAAAATAAACTTTACATTAAAATCATTACAAAAAGACAAAGAAGGTCACTACATATTAATACAGGGAACAATCCAAGAAAAGAATATCACCATTGTCAATTTATACTCTCCAAACATCAGTGCACCCAAATATGTTAAGCAAATACTGTCAGACTTACAGGAAATGATAGATGCAAATACAATAATATTAGGAGACTTTAATACTCCATGCTTACCAAAGAACAGGTCTAACAACCAAAGAACTGGCAAAGACATTTCCAAATTAAGTGATGCCATATCTCAAGTGGACTTAATTGACATATACTGAGTTTTCCACCCAACAACAACCCAATACACACTCTTCTAGTAGCCCATGGAACTTTTTTCCAAAATAGATCATATCTTAGTTCATACAAGGAATTTAAGCAAATACAAGAGGATCAACATAATCCCCTGTACTCTATCAGACTATAGGGGAATCAAGCTATTTCTCAATAACAAAGCATACAGTAGAAAATACACAAATACATTGAAATTAAACAGCACACTTCTTAGCAACACCTGGGTCACGGAAGTTATCAAAGAAGAAATTAAAAAGTTCCTACAGTTCAATGAAAATGAATATACATCACAAAGCAACCTATGGGATACAGCAAAAGCAGTCCTACGGGACAAATTTATTGCTCTCAGTGCACACATCAAGAAAACAGAGACAGACCAAGTAAACAATCTCATGATGCAACTAAAACTAGTAGAGAAACAATAAAAAGTTGAACTAAAGTTGCTAGATGGAGCGAGATAACCAAAATAAGAGCTGAAATTAATGAAATGGAAACTAAGACTACTATAAATAAAATTAGTAAAACAAAAAGCTGGTCTTTTTTTAAAAATATCAACAAAATTGACGGACCTCTGGCAAACTAAAAAAGGAGAGAGGAGACCCAAATCAATAAGATCAGGGATGCCACAGGAAAAATTACAACAAACATCCAAGACATCCAAGATCCAGGGATGCCACAGGAAAAATTACAACAAACATCCAAGACATCCAAACAATTATAAAGAACTATTTCCAGACTCTACTCACTAAGGAAGGAAAACCTAGGAGAAATGGATGAATTTCTAGAGAAATACAAATTGCCCACACTGAACCAAGAAGAAGTAAATCAATTAAATAAGCCAATAACCTACAATGAGATAGAGGAAGCAATCAGAAGTCTTCCAACAAGGAAAAGCCCAGGACCAGATGGATTCACTATGGAATTCTCTAAGACCTTTAAAGAGGAACTAATACCCATACTCCTCAAACTCTTCCAAGAAATAGAAATAGAAGGAGCAATCCCAAACTCATTCTATGAAGCGAATATCACACTCATCCCCAAACCAGGCAAAGACCCAACAAAAAAAGACAACTACAAATAAGTCTCTTTGATGAACACAGATGCAGAGCAGTCGCCTTTCTGTACACCAACAATGTACAAGCAGAAAAGGAAATCAAGGAAACAACCCCATTCATAATAACCTCAAAAAAAAAGTACCTAGGAATTAACCTAACCAAAGATGTAAAGGATCTATTTCACAAAAACTATATAAGCCTAAAAAAAGAAATCACAGAGGACACAGGAAATGGAAAGACCTCCCATGTTCCTGGATAGGCAGAATTAATATAGTGAAAATGGCCATACTGCCAAAATTGATATATAAATTCAATGCAATGTCCATTAAAATCCCAATGACATACTTCACTGAAATAGAGAAAACAGTCCAAAAATTTATATGGAAAAACAAAAGACCTAGAATAGCCAAAGAAATTCTAGGAAAAAAAATGCAGGAGAGATCACAATACCAGATTTTAAGCTCTACTATAGAGCTATAATAACAAAGACAGCTTGATACGGGCACAAAAAGAGACCTGAAGACCAATGGATCAGATTAGAGGACCCAGAAAAAAAACGCATATATACAGACAGTTGATATTTGACAAAGACATACAGTGGAAGAAGCATAGCCTCTTCAACTACTGGGAAAACTGGACAGCTACATGCAGAAAAATGAAAATGGACCCAGCCTGTCACCATGCACTAACATCAACTCAAAATGTATTAACGACCTTAACATCAAACCTGATACTCTGAAACTACTTCAGGACAGAGTAGGAGAGACACTTGAACTTATAGGCATAGGCAGGAACTTCCTGAACAGAGTCCCAAGGTCACAACAAATTGGAGAGAGACTCCATAAATGGGACTACCTTAAAATAGTTTCTGCACAGCTAAAGAAATAGCAACCAAATTAGAAAGAAAGCCAATTAATTGGGAAAAAATATTTACCAGCAATATATCAAACAAAGGCCTGATATCCATTATATACAGGGAACTCAAGAAACTATTCCCTCCCAAAACTAACAAACCAATTACTAAATGGGCAAGGGAGCTAAACAGAGACTTCTCAGAATAAGAGATAAAAATGGCAAAGAAACACATGAGGAAATGTTCATCATCCCTGGCTGTAAAGGAAATGCAAATAAAAACAACCCTGAGATACCACCTTACCCACAGTCAGAATGGCCCACATCCTAAATTCAGCCAACGGTGAATGCTGGAGGGGATGCGGAAAAAGAGGAATTCTATTGCACTGCTGGTGGGAATGTATACTAATACAATCACTTTGGAAAGCCATCTGGAGGTACCTCAGAAAGCTAAATATAGACCTCCCCTATGACCCAGCTTTACCACTCCTAGGCATCTACCCTGAACAACAGGAACCAGGATACAAGGACACATGCACTTCCATGTTTATTGCAGCACTGTTCACAATTCCAAGATATGGAAATAACCCAGATGTCCCACTACTGACGAGTGGATACAAAAACTGTATTACCTTATACAATGGGGAATATTATGCAGCCATTAGAAAGGACAAAATAATGGCATTTGCAGAGAAATGGATGGAACTAGAGCAAATCATTTTGAGTGAGGTAAGCCAAGAGCAAAAAGACAAATGGCACATGATCTCTCTGATATATGGATGCTAAAGCCAAATGCAAGGATATATGACAAGGTAAACAAGACTGGAAAAACAAAGAATGCCATTCATCTTGTCATATCATTGCTAAAATGACTCCATGTTATTGACCACATATACGGTATGTATATGTGCACAATGTAAAGAAGCTAAAAAGAGGACACAGAATCAGTGGGAAATGTGAAAACATAAAACAGAGGGGCCCATCAGCTGCACTGGACATAGATGAAAATGAACTAAGCAGCCGGGCGCTGGTGGCTCACGCCTGTAATCCTAGCTACTCAGGAGGCTGAGATCTGAGGATCGCGGTTCAAAGCCAGCCCTGGCAGGAGAGACTGTGAGACTCCTATCTCCAATAAACCACCAGAAAACCAGAAGTGGCGCTGTAGCTCAAGTGGTAGAGCGCTCGCCTTGAGCTGAAGAGCTGAGGGACAGCGCCCAGGCCCAGAGTTCAAGCCCCACGACCGACAAAAAAAAAAAAAGAAAATGAACTAAGCAACCCAAAGACAGCGATGTGAAGGGAGGAATGAGAGGGAAAGAGGGAACAGACTATACTAAGCAAAAGGAAAGAAATGCAAAAATCACCTGATGTGGAAGAAATACTTGTATTGTCAAAGCTCATAGAATTCACAAACTTTGTAGACCACAATAATGACAATTTGCCTTAAAATGTGTTTGTGACTTTAAGGATCACTATTCCACAATACTGTGAAAGTTATATATCACCTAATCTCAATTGAAAATAAAAGTGAGAGAAGGGGTAGCTTAGAGTGATGGATGATAATGTTACCAGACACTTTGTATTCATATACGATTTTGTAGAATGGGAACTTCTTTGTACAACCATAAAAGATAATAAATTTTTTTAAATTGGGATATGTGATTGAACATCTGAACACAACATTTTTCTACATAAACTATTAATTGAAGGGTTATATAATCAGTTGTCATCTTTCAAACCCTGAAAAGAATCAGGCCATCACAATTATCCCTTAGGAGACTATGACACCACTGGGACAGTATATCATACAGAATGAATCACCATGACATCCCAACTAGTCAGTACAGTGATTGTAAACATGTACAATAAAACACACTCAAGAATTTTCAACTGGGCTAGCAATAATTTTCTAAACAAATGACCATTTCCAAAGCTTTTAAAGAACCTCTCTGTTTTTGGATTCACAATCTATCACTGTACAAAGAATTAAATTTTGATTAAAAAGAAATTATTAACTTCGATCTATCTTCTAATTTGATTTTATCTGTAGAAATTTGAAACTTTTCTTTTTCTTTCTTGCTATTGTTTCTAACATATATTTATAAGATTATTTTTTTGTTGCTTTGTATGTCCCTCCCCCATGGTATAACCCGTTTTCACTGTATTTGATGTTGGTATAATTTGGAGAGGGAAAGGGAAAAAACAAATTGTTTAAACAGGGATATAGGTGGACCCATTGCAACAATGAGATGTACAAGACTTTATGTCGAAAAATGAACTTTACAACTTTGGTGCGTGGGGCAGGGACAAGAGGGACTGGGGGCAGGAGATGGGAAGGGCTGGGAAGGGGAAACAAAGGAGGAGGCAACAATGCTTACTAAGAAATGTACTCATTACCTTGCTCATGTAATTGTAACCCTTCTGTACAGTATTTTCACAATTAAAAAAAAAGAAATTTGAAACTTACAATTTTCAAGTTTGTAAAATGAGATGAGAGAATATACCCTAACAATATAATGATAGATAAGAACTAGTGATTCCAAGGTACCTGCTCATTTTGGGTTTTTTCATATGGAGCTTCCCAAGGACTTGGTGCTACTCCGGGAGTACACGTCTGCCTTGGACTATGTCTGTTAGAAGACAACTCTGCACAAAAAGATGATGAGGGGTAACTGTAGTTTTCTGTTCTATGGAACTGAGGTTCAAACACACTGTATGTCATGTGCTGCGACAACTGTAGAAAAAATGGTTTAAAAATCATTTAAAATACATAAACTGAAAAACTTAAAATAGCAGAACTAAACTGAAAGAAAAGCATAGGTTTATAAGAGTCCAAGGAAAGTTAAGACATCAGTAATGGTAGAATTTGCTAATATGAGACTGGTAATTAAGTAAGATTTTCTTTTAGCAATCCTTTCCCCCTGCCTTTCCCATCTTTCTCCTCTACCCTCAGGCATGCCTGCTATACGTCATCCTTTGTTATAAGAAATTATTATCTCTGGGCACCAGTGGTTCAGGCCTGTAATCCTAGCTACTCAGGAGGCTGAGCTCCGAGGATTGCAGTTCAAAGCCATCCCAAGCAGGAAAGTCCATGAGACTCTTCACTCCAATTGACCACCAGAAAACCAGAAGTGGCACTGTGGCTTAAGTGGTAGAGCACTTGCCTTGAGCTGAAGATCTGAGGTACAAGCCCCATGACCCCCCCCCCAAAAAAAAATGATTGTCATTAACTCATAATTCAATTGACAATATTTTTAAGGGATTATTGTCACTGCCATCACCTTCCTTATTTAGTTTAACTCTAGCAATTCAAGGGTAGGAGTCAATAATAGACACTGGAAATTAAACAAAATTTCCAACTTTATTCTTAATGTACACATTTTCTAATTGGTTAAAATTTTATTTGCTTAAAACAATTGTAGCTTGGGTAGTGGCTCACACCTGTAATCCTAGCTACATAGGTGAGAGTATCACAGTTTGAGGCCAGCCCAGGAAAAAAGTTTACAAGACCCATCTAAACTAATAAAACCCTGGGCATAGTGGCACATACCTGTCATCTCAGATATATGGGAACCTCAAACAGAAGGATTGCAGCTCAGGCTGGCCCAGCCAAAAAACAAGAATTAATTTCTATTCAAAAATTTAAAAAAGCAAAAATGGCTAGAAATATGCTCTGATGGCTGACTGCCTGGCAAGCAAAAGGCCCTGATCAAACTTCCGTTCTGCCTAGGAAAAAACAGAAAAGACTGTAAAAGTTTCTTTCCAAAGGGTAAAACTAATTTTTCCCAATGCTGAAAAATTTAGGTCATTCATTGACATACCACAATTGTTAAAACAACTTGCAATTAAAATTTTAAAACTTACCTGAACTGAGTCATATTTTTTCTTGCTACCCAGTTCCTGAGAGTGTATACTAAGGGAAAGAAAACTTTAAGGTTACAACTATAAGTATAATAAAATTCATCTTTATTTACCTAAAATGCATAGTGTTCTACTCCAGCACACAAAACAGTAAATCCTTCCAGGATCATAACATTATCGAGCTTTCATAAAAATCATATTACTATGAGAATAATCACTTTATCATAAGGAAAATAAAGTATGTATACAAAATGCCTAGGTCCTTTGGTAAAGGTCCTAATTCTTCTATAATATAAGACAAACAAAAAGTGAAGCTTAAAGGTAAACCCTTAGTACATTTTTTTTTTCGATGAACAAGTTAAAGTCAGGTTAGTGGGGGCTCACACGTGTAATCTTAGCTACTCCTGGTTTGAGGCCAGCCCAGGCAGAAAAATCTTTGAGAATTCATCTCCAAAATAACCAGAAAACAAAGCAGGACTGGAGGCATGGCTAAATTAGTAGAGTACCAGCTGATCAGGCATGAGACTCTGAGTTCAATCCTTGGTACTGCCTCCCATCCTCCAAAAAAGTTGATAATAACCAGTTTAAATACCTAACAATGTAAGCCACTCACTCAGCCAAAACTCACTTGTCTTCTGTATCATCAAGGCAGAGTTTAGAAGGTGTACAATTAGGTGACATTGGAAGTTCTAAATCATGCTTTCTTAGAGGGATTTTTATGTCTCTATTCATATTCACGTGGACTGGTTTCTTCACAGTCTCTGTAAGTAAAAAAAGTTAAAAAAAATTCAAAAATTAGAATGAAATGCTTTAAAGTTTTTACATTAATATATCATCTTCATTAGATAAATGTGCACCTGAAATCTTTTACAAAAACACATATGCTATACCACAGTGATGCTGCATGTATGACTGTCACACATCATTGAAAACATCTTTGTCTTTGTCACCTTACCTAACCTCAAGAACTGAAAGCCTATCCTGTTCCCTCAAGTACACTGGATTTTGTGATATATATTCTCATAGCCCTTTTCTGGTGTAGCTTGTTTGTACTTTATCATACCTGATGAGCTTTAGCTCGGTAAATTTTAAACTTTTTACTAGCCTTGTCTCTATATAGATAAGCTAAAATGCTCTCATGCCAAATGTTTTTCTCTGTTCTGTATTCAAACTTTCTTTTCCTGAGAAATGTTTTTTTGTAACCAGTCTAACTATGGTTCTAAAGGAGACTTTCTGTCAGCCTATAAAATTTTGGTTTGGAGGTAGCCATTTGATGAAAGAGAAACCAATAATAGAATGCTTACCACTGATTATAAGTGAAATGGTTTCACTACTGAAACTAGATATCCAATACTAAAAGAGAATATCTTTCTAGCGGAATTAAAAATCTTAAATCCAGAGAACCTATCTGCAGTCTTCTTCTGGTGGCACACTTAAGAGGTAAGCAATATTAATTTCTCAAGACAAGATTTTAAACCCTAATGATGAAAACAATGAGAGAATAAAGCTACTCTTTTTAAAAGAATCTTAGTAACATTCAAATTCCTGATTAAAGTTATCCCTGAGACCCACCACTGCACTATCACTCTTCCTTTAAATTAAATGAGTAACTGTATTTCTGCTTTTGATTTCAGTCATTAGCAGCTATGAGTCCCGATAAAGTACTACTATTTTGTTCTCAGTACCCAAATACAATTCTTATCATATGTAGTCAATGAATGTGTTGTATAACTGGATCAACATATGGATGAAAAGAACATGAGGGTAGTATCCCTAAAATGATACCTTGGCATTTGAAAAACCTGTTGGAAGCAAGAATATCACTTTTAGTTTCCATTGTTCTCTCCAAAGCAAATCACATAACTTAGAAAAAATTTTGAGAAAGGATATTAAGGAGATACTACTATAGTGATCAATTTCTCTCCTGATGGTTTATTTTTAAGCTATCACTTTTGTACTTCTTTTAAAAATTCAATATTAGATACAAGTTTTCTTAAGAGAGGGAAAGGATATTCTAATATTCTTTTTAATTAACCAAAGTATAGGACAAAATGAATTTTATTTTGAGACAGAAGACGACTGCAGATAACACTTTAAAAATATATAAGCCACAGTCTGGTAACTCATACCTGTAATCCTAGGTACTCAGGAGATGGGGTTCTAAAGATCACGATTCAAAGCCAGCCCAGGCAGAAAAGTCCATGGGACTCTTATCTCCAATAAACTACTTAGAAAATACCAAAAGTGGTGCTGCAGCTCAAAGGTAGAGTGCTAACCTTGAGTACAAAGAGGCTCAGGGACAGCACCCAGGCCCTGAGTTCAAGCCCCAGGACCCACCAAAAAAAAAAAGAATGTGTAAGAAGAAGTTCAAGTTGTAAGATAGGAAAACAATCATTGAGATAAAAGTCTTTTCAAGCCAGCTGCTGGCAGCTCACGACTGTAATCCTAGCTACTCAGGAGGCTGAAATCTGAGGATCATGGTTCAAAGCCAGCCCAGGCAGGAAAGTCTGTGAGACTCTTATCTGCAGCAAACCATTCAGAAAACAAGAAGTGGCACTGTGGCTCAAGTGGTAGAATGCTAGCCTTGAGCTGAAGAGCTGAGGGACAGTGCTCAGGCCCAAAGTTCAAGACCCACGACCAACAGAAAAAAAAAAATCTTTTCAGATATACCTTCTAAACAAATTTCTTAAATAGTATAAACACATTTATTTTTCTCTGCTGTCAAGCTACACTTGGATGATTTAGCATCTTAGAAATTAAACGACATCTAATAAATTAATTTTAAATAATATGTACACAGCTTAAAAATAAAATAAATGGATTAAAAAACAATTTTTTTGTCAGTCATGGGGCTTGACCTCTAAAAAAAATATTTTAAGCAAATATAATTGAGCTAATTAAGGGCTAAGTTTTTAACTTAATTTTCCACAGCTTTGAGATCTAAAATTTCAAACTAATTAGAAAGATATGTTATTACAAATCAAGCTCAAAATAAAATGCTATGGACTTACCAGGTATCTTCTTCTTGCATGATATCTGATTTACCATGTAGAGGTTCAGAAGATCTAAACTGACAGTAGAATTTTTGGCAGGAGGCAAAACTCCCAGTAATTTCATTTTTGATTTTAACCTGTTCCTCTCAAAATATTCCTAAAATATTTAAAAATTAAAATTAATGTACATCAAGTGGTTTAAGGCAGAATCACAAATAACAAAAAATTATTGACTTATTCATATTTTTGTGACAGCATGTTACATACAAATTTAAATCAATCAATGCTACTTTTTAGCTTGCTTATTACTCTTAAAATTCCTATCTTTTATAATCTTTCTGTTAAAATTAACCTTTAAAATATAACTTTAAATAGCTATTACTTACACATCAAAAATTTGAAATTATCTGTATGTACAAAGTTAAAAAGACATTCAGTAACAAAATAAGAAATCTTGTAAGATAAAAACTTGCTTTTCTGAAAAGCATGCCTCCCTAGTGATACACAAAACCTTAAAGATCTGCCCAGCATAGTGCTATTAACAGTCAACTGAAATGAGAAAAAAAGCATTGTGTAAGAATGAATCTGTAACTAGTGCCAACTTAGTTTGCTTTGCCAACTCTCCTAACTGCTAGTTCTTTTAAACCACACCTGTTCAAAATTATCACCCTACATCCAGTTTGTGTTTTCTTGTTTTAGCTATAATTGTTACTCTTTATCTTCATTGGTTTCCTTTTGTCAGATTATACCCTTCATTTACAAAATTCAGAAGCCTTTATTTAGCTTTTATTTATTGAGCAACTATGATAGTGTTTGACACTGTAAAAAAATCATCTTAGAAAACCTTGCTGTCCATGGGGCTGGGAAGGTGGCTCAGTGGTAGAGCGCTTGCCTTGCATGCCTGAGACCCTGGGTTTGATTCCTCAGCACCACATAAGCAAAAAGAAAAAAGCCAGAAGTGGCACTGTGGTTCAAGTGGTAGAGCACTAGCCTTGAGCTCAAGAGCTGAGGGATAGCACCCAGGCCCAGAGTTTAGGCCCCAAGACCGGACCCCCCCAAAAAAAGAAAAGAAAATCTTGCTGTCCCTATAATACAATGGTATAAGCTAGCTCATATACGTAGGTTATCAAAAGTAAGAAGAATTTGAGATAGCAAAAGATTTAGTGCCAAAAGGTCACATTTCCAAATGGTTATATAGCATATTTTCAGTAAGTAAAGGCTATTTTTTTGTGTGTGTGTCAGTCCTAGGGCTTAAACTCAGGCCTGGGCACTGTTGTCCCTGTTTCTTTTGCTCAAGGATAGAGCTCTACAACTTGAGCCATAGCTCCAATCCTGGCTTTTTTTTTTTTTTTTCAATTCACTGGAGATAAGACGTTCACTGACTTCCTTCTAGGGCTGGCTTTGAACAGCCATCCTCAAATCTCCAATTAACCACCAAAAACATGGAAATGGTATGCTGTGGCTCAAGTGGTAAAGATCTAGACTTGAGAAAAAAAAGCTCAGGGACAGTACCCCGGCCCTAAATTAAAGCCCCTGGACACAGACACATACACACACACACAGACACACACAAAGATCACACCATATATGCATGTTTCAGCAATAAAGTAACAGGAACTTTAGGATGCAAATACTGAAACAATGTTAGTTCATATAATGATGGTACCATAGAATTTAAATGTTCTTTCTGACCTCAGGACCAATGGAATAGAATTGAAAACCCAGAAATGAACCTACAGACCTATAGCCATCTAATCTTCGATAAGGGAGCTAAAAAAATAGAATGGAAGAAAGACAGCCTCTTCAGTAAATGGTGCTGGCAAAATTGGTTAACTACTTGTAGAAAACTAAAGCTAGATCCTTATCTATCACCCTGCACCAGAATCAACTCCAAATGGATCAAAGACCTAGGAGTCAAAGCAGACACTCTGAAAACATTACAGGGTGGAATAGGAGAAACCCTAGGTCTCCTTGTCGCAGACTGAAATTTTCTTAATAGAGACCTGGAAAAACAACAAATCAAAGAAAGGTTGGACAAATAGGATTGCATGAAGTTTCAGAGCTTCTGCATGGCAAAGGACATAGCTAGCAAGATCAATAGAAAGCCCATGGATTGGGAGAAGATCTTCACTAGCCATACAACAGACAAGGGTCTCATATCTAAAATATACTTGGAACTCAAAAAATTAAACCACCCAACAACAAATCCTCAAAGAAACAACTGCTCAATAAATAAGTGGGCTAAAGACTTAAAGAGTAACTTCTCTGAAGAAGAAAGAAGGATGGCCAATAGACACATGAAGAAATGCTCAACCTCCCTAGCCATAAAAGAAATGCAAATCAAAACAACATTGAGATACCACCTCACTCCAGTTAGAATGGCAAAAATCTAGAACTCTAATAACAACAGATGCTGGAGAGGATGTGGACAGAAGGGAACCTTACTGCATTGCTGGTGGGAGTGTAAACTTGTTCAACCACTTTGGAAAGCAGTATGGAGGTTCCTCAAAAGACTTCACATAGAGCTCCCCTATGACCCAGCAATCCCACTTTTGGGCATTTACCCAAATGTTTACAAACAAGACCACACTAAAGCTACCAGCACAACTATGTTTATTGCAGCATTATTTACCATAGCTAAGATATGGAACCAACCCAGATGCCCCTCAGTAGATGAGTGGATCAAGAAAATGTGATATATATACACAATGGAATTCTATGCCTCCATCAGAAAGAATGACATTGCCCCATTTGTTAGGAAACTGGAAAGGCTTGGAAAAAATTATATTAAGTGAAGTAAGCTAAGCCCAAAGAAACATAGGTCCTATGGTTTCCCTTATTTGCAATATCTAGTATATGTATGAGTCAAGCAGAAAAGGTCAGATAATGTGATGTTAGGAAAATGAACCCTTAGATATGTATTTTAATGTTTTTTTCTTTCATGCATGTGTTTCTAACCCATTTATAAGATTATTTCTTTGTTGCTTTGTATGTCCCTCCCCCACAGTATAACCCCTGCTTTCACTATATTTGATGTCGATATAATTTGTGGAGGAGATGGGGAAAAACAAGTTGTTTAAGGATACAGGTGGACCTGTTGCAACAATGAGAAGTACAAGGTCATGTCGAAAACGAGCTTTACAACGTTGGTGCGGGTGGGGGGGGAAGGGGGGGAGGATTGGGTGGGGCATAGTAGGGGGGAGGTAGGGAAGGGATGTGAAGGGTAAACAAAGGAGGAGGCTGCAATGCTTGATAAGAAATGTACGCATTATCCTACCCATGTAATTGTAACCCCTCGAGGTACAGTATGTTCACAAAAAAAAATAAAAAAATTAAAAAAAAAAAAAAAAGGATACGGTTGGGCCTGTTGCAACAATGAGAAATAAAAGTTGTCATGTCGAAAAACGAAAACGAACTTTACAACTTTAGTGCGGGGGGTGGGGGGGAGGATTGGGTGGGGGGTGGGAGGAAAGCTGAGAAGGGATGTTAAGCGTAAACAAAGGAGGAGGCTGCAATGCTTGATAAGAAATGTACTCATTATCTTGCCCATGTAATTGTAATCCCTCTGTATAGTATGTTCACAAAAAATTAAAATTAAAAAAAGAATTTAAATGTTCTTTCTAAAGGCATTGTATTTTGGGATGGATAAAATAACATTGAGGACAACAGTAACACAGTTACAATAAGTGTGGTGGGGATGGTATAACATCAGGAAGAACATGTAAATTACAAGTTGGGCATGGTAGGCAAAAAAAATGGAAGAAAGACAGAAAAGGTTTCTTGAGAAGTAATTTCTAAAATTTGGACAGTGAATCAGAGTTAGCAAGAGAGAAGACAGAGACATATGTTTCCAAGAATAAGTAAGAACAATTGAAACACTGTCAATTGAAAGACTGCCTGTAAGGGAATAAGCCTTTATTCCAGAGAACACTACAAAGGAGGCTTGTCCGCCATACTCTAGTTATCAAGTTGGCTTCTAAACTTGGCATTCCTAGCAAGGGCAAAGGACTATGCTTAACAAAGAGTAAGGTTCAGTTTTTTTCCGAACCAGGAAGATAAAGAATTTGTATTAGCTTTGTGTCAGTGGCTCATGCCTGTAATCCTAGCTACTCAGGATGTGTCTGAGGATCGTGGTTCAAAGCCAGTCCGGGCAGGAAAGTCTGTGAGACTCCAGTAAACCACTCAGAAAACTGGTAGTGGCGCTGTGGCTACTTGAGCTCGCCTTTAGCTGAAGAGCTGAGGGACAGCGTCCAGGCCCAGAGTTCAAGCCCAAGACTGACCAAAAAAACCCAAAAAACAAAAAACAATTTGTATTTCTTTATTTTCTTTTTGTTTTGTTTTTTGGGTCCGGTTGTGGGGCCTGAACTCTGGGCCTGGACGCTGTCCCTCAGCTCTTCAGCTCAAGGCTAGCGCTCTACCACTTGAGCCACAGTGCTACTTTCGGCTTTTTTCTTTTTGCTTATGTGATGCAGGGGATTTGAACCCAGGGCCTCATGCATGCAAGGTAAGCACTCTACCACTGAGCCACCATCCCAGCCCACAATTTGTATTTGTATTTAGAGTAATTACTTTTCTGTTCATCTAAAATAAATCTTAATATTTAAGCTATTTAAAATTACTAGATTCAAGCCCCAAAGTTTTCTTATCTTTAATATCTACTTGGGTGTTCAATAAGGATGGCATTTGCTCTGTACAAATAAGGATTAGGCTAAAATTTTCTTGGCAATGACTGAGAAAGATTTCTTTGTTAAATAGGTCAAGTTATTAAATACATAATATAGAAAAACTCTGAATAACAGCCTGCAATATATTTTACAAAGGTGATATTCTATGTAAAAACAAAAGTCCTAACTGATACAAACATAATATTCCTTTTGGAAGGGGATGTACTTAGAATATTAAATGGAATCTAAGTAAAGAACGTTGAAGTATAGAATACAAAGTAGTTGTATTAGACCTGACTAGAAGGAATAGCCTTCTAACTAAATAGCATGGATAAAACACAGTGTCTGCTCCCAGACTAGAACTAAGAGCCAAAGCAAATGCTTAGCACATTCTCAACGAAGCCTTGCAGCAGCACCACAGACCACCAGAACAGAGACTCGGGCAACCGGATGAAGAAGACATGACACTGCTCTCCCAGCAGTGTAACATCATCACAGGAACAGGTTTTCTGGACAGCTGACTACTGTTAGAAAGAGCTTGATATTTTTTTGTCAAGTCTCCCTTACTGGAGAAAACTTTCAGAAAAAAAAATCAAGTTTTAATTTGCACATACTATTAAAAAGAGACAGCAACCAGAAAGACAGAGAAGTAAAATCTGAAGAATTATGTCAAAACATGAGAGGAGTTTATTTCAAAATTTGAAAGGAATGGCAGACTATGCAGGAGATTAAAGTAAGCAGAATTATCAAAAGGCTCACAGTACATCTGAGAAATCAATGTTTGTTTTCATAATTACTTCTCCTTTTCTTTAAATTTCACTACTTTTTATTATATTGATATACCATTTTAATATTTTTCCTTTTTCTTATTTTCTGCTTTAGTACTATTTTTTTTTGTCAGTCATAGGGCTTGTACCTGGGCCTGGACACTGTCCCTCAGTTCTTCAGCTCAAGGCTAGTGCTATACCACTTGAGCCACAGCACCATTTCTGGCTTTTTCTGCTTATGTGGTGCTGAGGAATCAAATCCAGTGCCTCATGCATGTGAGGCAAGCACTCTACCACTGGGCTACCTTCCCAGCCCTGTTTTAGTAACTTTTTTTTTTGTCGGTCATGGGGCTTGAACTCTGGGCTTGGACACTGTCCCTCAGCATTTTACCTCAAGGCGAATGCTCTACCACTTGAGCCACAGTGCCACTTCCGGTTTTCGAGTGGTTTATTGGAGATAAGAGTCTCCTGGACTTTCCTGCCCAAGCTGGCTTTGAACCACAATCCTCAGATCTCAGCTGCCTGAGTAGCTAGGATTACAGGCGTGCGCCACCAGCACCCGGCCTGTTTTAGTACTTTTTATAAAAAGAATCTTTCTCAGGGTCTTCTGTGAGTTGCTTCTTTTGCTCAGCATTACCTACTTAAAAGTGATACATACTTCCTACATATAATTAAAACCTTCTTACTGCTCTATTATTACTCAGATAGAACATCTTCTGTTGAATTAATTTTACCACTAATGGAAATTTGGCTTGTTTTCTTCCTTTCCTCCTCCCGCCCCATGAACAACTTCTTTCCCCTTTCACTTAGTATTTTGGCAATAACAGTGATTCAACCTTATCCATATCTCCAAGTACATAAATACAAGTTTCTCTCAGGTATGTACTGCTCAGGGGCTATGCACACATGAATATATTATGCAGTCAGACAAATGGGAAAACCAAGTGGGAGTAGGATCTGGGAAATGAGAGCATTACAGTACTCTAGGCAACTGAAATTACAGTGCTAATTCTATGGATAGTGAAATATCATCAGTTATCATCTTGACACTAGCAAGATAGTAAGATTCAAGAATTGTTCCTAAGTTTACACCTGAGCAAAGTGGAGAGTTTATCAATGTACCTGTAAGGATGGAGAAGACTAAAGGAAGATAATCTTTCAACTGTACTTAGATAGAATTACTATAAATGATTAAAAATGTTTCAGAAGGTGATTATTGCATACAACTGACATAATAAAAATAGATTTTTCCCTACCTTTTGCTTTCTCCTGTCCTGCTTGATCAGAACCCTGCTCCTAGAAAGGAAGTGAGGACAAAATACACAATTATCAAAGAAATGTCTTTAAAATGATTGTCATCTCAGTTAAATACAGATCTGAAATTAAAACCCCAAAACAAAGTGATCATAGTACTATTTTCCAAAAGGAAAACATGAAAATGATCTTCCAAGTATTTTTAGTATATATTTCACAAATTTTTCTAAGGAATTCTAATTTTAAAAACACTATATTTATGTTCACAAAAAAATAAAATTAAATTAAAAAAATAAAAATAAATTAAAAAAACACTATATCTAAATAACTAAGGGCTGGAGATGTAGTTCAGTAGTAGAGCACTTACGTAGTAAGTACAATCCTTGGTTCACAAAATCTTCTATTTTAAGCCAATTCAAGTGGCTAAAACAGAATACCATAAATCAGGTAATTGATATTGGGCACGGAAAACTACCTGAAAGTATATCACTTTGGCATGCTCAGTATTTTGAATTTTACAGGCCTGAAAAGCATTTTCTCTCTGACCTTCTCTTGCATTCTTTTCTTTTCTTTTTCTTTTTTTTGGGGGGTAGGGAGGGTGGTCCGGTCGTATGGCCTAATCTCTGGGCCTGGGCGCTGTCCCTCAGCTCTTCAGCTCAAGGCTAGCACTCTACCACTTGAGCCACAGCACCACTTCCGGCTTTTTCTTTTTGTTTATGTGGTGCTGAGGAATCCAACCCAGGGCCTCATGCATTCTTGCATTCTTTTCTATGGCTCCCCCCCAAACCGGGTAAGAGAAACTGGAACTTCTCTTCCCCATGGCAGATGACAGAAACTCAAGTCAGCTACAAAACCCAGAAATGTAATTTTGATATCCTCCTCCCATCTCACTATATAAGAACTAGTCACAAAAAGGAAAAAAGAAAAGCAGTGCATATTTGATCTACATTATCTGATAGTAGATGATGAAATCCTTCTTATAGAAGTCTTGTCCCATAGCCAAGAAGAAAGAATGGCCCACAAAGGCCAAGAATCCCCAAATAGAAGTCTTTCTGGGTTTACCCTCTCAGTCTATTACCACTAGGTAATACCATTTCTATATGGATGCCCATTCTTTATCAAATCTAAGTATAAAAATGAACAATCTTGTTTTTCCCCTTCCCCTCCACAAATTATACCGACATCAAATCCAGTGAAAGCAGGGGTTATACTGTGGGGGAGGGACATACAAAGCAACAAAGAAATAAATAAGGATACAGGTGGACCCGTTGCAACAATGAGAAGTACAAGTTGTCATGTCGAAAATGAACTTTACAACTTTGGTGGGGGGGGGGGGGGAGGGATTGTATGGGGGGGCGGGGGGAGGTTGGGAAGGGATGGGAAGGGGAAACAAAGGAGGAGGCTACAATGCTTGATAAGAAATGTACTCATTATCTTGTCCATCTAATTGTAACCCCTCTGTACAGTATGTTCACAATAAAAAATTTTTAAAAAATGAACAATCTTTCCTGCATCTTTAGGTATTCATTTCTGAGGGATTTTGTGTCACATAAAATTGTCTTTTTATTAAGAATTGCTTATTAAAGATGACATGATGGGTACACTGACAACAGAAATTTACTTGTCATAGTTCTGGAGGCTATGAAGTCTAAAATCAAGGTACCAGCTGACTCAATGTCTGGTCAGGGCCTTGTTCCTTGGTCACTGATAATGATTTCTCACTATATCCTTACCTGGTAAAGGCTTAGCTACTTCCCTGGATATCTTTTTACAAGAGTACCAGTCAGAGTCAAGAATACTCTCAAATATCCCCACCAACTAGTATCTTCACCTCAGGGGTTAGTACTTCAACTTATGAATTTTGGGGACACAGACCACAGTATATTCTTTTTAAAAGCCTATCATTGTGTGTGCTTTGTACCTATGATCCATGTACCAAATAAAGCACTCAACACCAATAACAGGGTAGTATTTAGTGGTTATGAAGTGTTAGTCTATTAATAAAAGTAAAACTTTAAATAGCATTTATGACATCTAGGCTCTGATGGATCACACCTATAATCTTAGCTACTCAGGAGGCTGAGATACAAGGATCATGGTTCAAAGCTAAACTGGGTATGAAAGTCTGTGAAACTTCTCTCTCTAATTAACCACTAAAAATCGGAAGTGGGAGCTATGGCTCAAATAGAAAACCACTAGCCTGGAGCAAAAAAGCAAAAAACCCTATATTTTCTGTCCCATGAAACATCACAACTACTGCTCATATTCTAACTTTAAAAGAAAACTGGGAGAGAGCAAGGAAAGGGGTGACATTGTCCAAAAAGAAATGTACTCTTTACCTGACATGCATAACTATAACATTTCTGTATATCATCTTTTTTTTTTTTTTTTGGTCACTTGTGGGGCTTGAACTCTGAGCTTGGGTGCTATCCCTGTGCTCTTCAGCTCAAGGTGAGCACTCTACCACTTGAGCCACAGTGCTACTTCCGGTTTTCTAGTGGCTTATTGGAGATAAGAGTCTCACAGACTTTTCTGCTGGCTTTGAACTGTGATCCTCAGATCTCAGCCTCCTGAGTAGCTAGGATTACAGGCGTGAGCCACTGGTGCCCAGCCTGTATTTCATCTTTATACTAACAATGAAATTCTAAAAAGAAAAAAGTTACATTTGATGGATTCATCAAAAGCTAAGGCTAGGAAGTGGTGCTGTAGCTCAAATGGTAGAGTGCTCTCCTTGAGCTGAAGAGCTGAGGGATAGTGCCCAGGCCCAGAGTTCAAGCCTCACGACTGTCAAAAAAAAAAAAAAAAATAGTGAAAAGTTTAGAGCTGGGAAGGTAGCTCAGCGGTAGAGTGCGTGCCTTGCAAGCATGAGGCCCTGGGTTCAATTCCTCAGCACCACATAAACAGAAAAAGCCGGAAGTGGCGCTGTGGCTCCAGTGGTAGAGCGCTAGCCTTGAGCTGAAGAGCTGAGGGACAGCGCCCAAACCCAGAGTTCAGGCCCCATGACCGGCAAAAAAAAAAAAGCTAAGGCTAAGTAGGACATTGGAGATTATTCCCATTATTTTAAAACTTGCAAAACAGAAGAGAAAGCAAATTAATTTTTTCATGGTTCAGAATACCAATTATGTAAGCAGGTTCTGTGTTATTAATGTTAACAAAATTAGGTTTGTCATGTCAACATTTAAATATATTCCCATGTATCTATAAATAAATTATTTTATTTCACATTGATTTTTCATTACGTAGAATTCAGTTCTCACCAACTTTTATGCACTACGTATTGCGTATTCTTGTATTAATAAGGAAAAGTAATTAAGAACTTAAAACATCTAGTAGTGGCTAAACCATGGTGAAAATGAAAAAGGAGTATGACATATTACAAGAGTTGATTCTTTTTGTGTGTAGGTACTGTGGCCTGAAATCATGCTCTTACTTAGTATTTTTTCTCTCAATTGTGCTCTATCACACTTTCACTTCTGGCTTTTTTGTGGCCAGTTGGAAAATAAAACTACTCTCAATAACAACTGAAAACTTATTTGGCTAATTTAAACAGAAAACAATTACATAAAGAAGTAGAGTAACTGACAGACTTTCTGAGAAAGTTGAGGACCAGGGTTAGCAAATGGCAAGAACAAGGAAGTCTAAGCAGCTGCTCAAAACCATGCCACAATGGAGTTTATAAGGCCACCTCTTATGGTACTGATGAACACTGTCTACAACCGCCAGCATCATCTCGACCCTTGGATAGAAACCTCTGACATCCAGTCCTCCTGCAGCTCCTACTACTATAACAGGTGCTCTGCAGTAGTTATTTCCTGGGATTGCTAGCCTGATTTAGGACAATCACATCAAAGTCTAAGCTTAAGTCACATGCTCATTCTTTACCTATAAAACCAATTGTGAAGCAAGTGCCTGGGTTTTTTTTTTTTCACCTTCTACAGAAGGAGATGGCTTGTACCTATCAAAAAAGCTCATAAGGTAAGAAATACACATCAATGGGGTTAAAAACTCTAGGCTACTGAAGAGAATGTCTTCAAAATAACTGTTGCATAATAAAATTAAAATAAATGATCTAAAAGTCCACTATATTCCCTACCTTCCTCCCTTCTTCTCTCATTTTTCATTTATTTCTGGTTTAAAATGCAGTGTAGTAAAGAAATCTGCTTGAAAGCTAGCAGAGAAACGGCTAAACATAAGCAAAGCAAGGCAGAGTCCCTAAGACAGACTGCACCCAAGAAAACTGATGAGAGGTCACACAAAGGCCCCCCTGGCATGAACATAGACCCCACACGCGACACTCCTGGCCAGGTCCAGGCACATCGGCACACACAGCTGACAGAGGCCTCAAAAGTTCTGGTACCACATGTTCTTTTGTGTGAATAACAGAACAACCTGGTACAGAAGAGAGACATGAGAAACTTGCATTGAGTGACAAAAGCTACATTTTATATCCAGGACTGTGGGATATGCAACCATATCCAGGAAATTCAAGTCACTGGGTTTCAACATTCCTGTCCCAGGAACACAGCTTCTGTAGAGAAGCACTGAGGCATCAAGAGGGAATTGATTATCTATTAGGGGAAGTTGAGCAGACAGAGTGCAAACATGAGTGACAGGTTTTGTCTGAAACCTAAGAGAAGCATTTTTCTTTTTGCGACAGTACTAAGGTTTGAACTCAGGGCCTCACTCTCTGGCCCAACTTTTTCTGCTCAAGGCTGATGCTCTACTACTTAAGCCACACTTCCCCTACCTGCTTTTTCCAGGTTAATTGGAGATAAGATTTGTCTTATCTTGGATTTGTCTGCCTATGCTGGCTTCCAACCTGATTCTCAGATCTCAGGCTCCTTAATAGCTAGGATTAAGTGTGTCCACCTCCAAATCAATCATAAGTTCTTATGGTTTTCTTTAGACTTATACAAGAACAAGACAGCAATGATAAAAGGAGCCAGTTCTTAAATAATGTGGGAAATTGGTTCAAGCTTTATACTTGAAAAACATAAATCATACCCCAAATTTTGCAAATAATTAAAAGAAAAGTCATTTGTTAAAGTATACTATAGAAAATGCCGTAATATTCAGTATACAGCAAAGTTACCAAAATTAAACTTCAAAGAGTCTCTAACATTATTTTTTTTTTTTGGTCCGGCTGTGGAGCCTGAACTCTGGGCCTGGGTGCTGTCCCTCAGCTCTTCAGCTCAAGGCTAGCACTCTACCACTTGAGCCACAGCGCCACTTCTGGCTTTTTTCTTTTTGCTTATGTGGTGCTGAGGAATCGAACCCAGGGCTTCAGGCATGCAAGGCAAGCGCTCTACCACTGAGCCACCTTCCCAGCCCTCTAACATATTATTATATGTGTACACACTCTAAAACACAGCTGTGGTTATCACTTAGGACCAAGACTTCCACAACAGGGCCACACCTAGTTTTCAACTTCACTATGTTCTTTACTTCATAAACTCACATACCCAACCAAAGAAAAATATGACCTTTACATATTGCATTATCAAAACCTTCTAGATTATATTCAAATGACAATTCATGCAACTAATATGCACTTTATAATATAATTTTATCTAAATTTATTAAACTTGGGTAAAATGGAGAATGTGAATGAAGCTCATCTTTTTTATTTGGCAGAGCCTTCTGCTCACTCAGCTTGCTGTTTGGTTAGCATTCTACCACTTGAGCCATGTCTCCAACCCTGCATTTTGCTCATTATTTTGGAGATTAAAGTCTCAAGGACTTTTCTGCCTATGTAGACCTTCAACCAAATTCCTCCAGCCTCTTTAGTACACATGTGAGCCACTAGCAATCTCACCTTTTTAACAGTAATTATTATTCTAGAAAATATATTTTCAAGAAATATACTGTAATTATCTTACTCAATAAAAATTAGAAAAAATGCCAGGGATGGGGCTGGGAAGGTGGCTCAGTGGTAGAGCGCTTGTCTTGCATGCATGAGGCCCTGGGTTAGATTCCTCAGCACCACATAAGCAAAAAGAAAAAAGCCGGAAGTGGTGCTGTGGCTCAAGTGGTAGAGCACTAGCCTTGAGCTGAAGAGCTGAGAGACAGCGCTCAGGCCCAGAGTTCAGGCCCCACGACCGGACCTCAAAAAAAAAAAATGCCAGGGCCTGGATGAAGGGGTACAGTGTACCTTCCTAGCAAGTATAAGATTATGAGTTCAAACCTCAGTACCACAAAGAAAGAAAGAAGGAAAGAGAAAAAGAAATAAAGAGGGAGAAAGAGAGAAAGAAGGAGGGAGGGAGGAAAAGAAAAAAGGGAGGGAAGAAAGGAAAGAAGGAAAGCAGGAAGGAAGGGGAAGGACCAAGGGCCAAGGGTAGGAGAAGAAGGAGAGAGTTAAGAATGGAGGGAAAGAAAATTGTTGGGGGGCTGGGAAGGTGGCTCAGTGGCAGAGTCCTTGCCTTGCATGCCTGAGACCCTGGGTTCGATTCCTCAGCACCACATAAGCAAAAAGAAAAAAGCTGGAAGTGGCACTGTGGCTCAAGTGGTAGAGTGCTAGCCTTGAGCTGAAGAGCTGAGGGACAGCGCCTAGGCCCAGAGTTCAAGCCCCACAACTGGACCCCCCCTCAAAAAAGAAAGAAAATTGTTGTAGCTACTTAAATGAAAATCAGTAGGTCATAACTTCATAGAATACAAATGATTAATTTTAAGTAGCCAGAATACAGATATTAGTTACAAATACTATTGCTAAGAATTATAAAAAATGAAGTATAATGTACTGAAGAGAAAAGAACAGAAAGGTAAGAGGGAGACAGAGAAAAAGAAACAAAACCAAATAGGGGAGAGGGAAACCATGTTGACTATCAAAAGTGAATCAAGATTTCTGTCTATTCTTTCTAGTAAGAAAAGATCTGAAGAAAAATGGCAAAGAAATACTCCTCTTCATTAGACACCATGTTGAAAATGAACTATTTAACTTGTGGGTAGGGATGGGAAGGAAAAACTGGGAAAGAGCAAAGGAAGGGATGACACTATCCAAAAAGAAATGTACTCTTTTTTAAAATATAACTTTATTGTAAAGGTAATATACATAGGGGTTACAGTTACATAAGTAATGAGTATATTTCTTTTGGAACAGTGTTACCTCCTCTCTCATTTTATTCCACTTTCCCCTCCCAATCCCCCAACAAATTGTAAATTTCATTTCCAATATAGTGTCTATTATCACTGTTGCATAGTTTACCCTTAGTCCCACCATTTATGTGATTCCCCTTCCCTTCCCCAACTGAGATAAATTTATATATAAGTCAAAGGGTATGGAAATCAAAAACGGTGTCAACAGGGCGCAAATAAAGGAAATAAAAGAAAGAAAAATGAAATAACTGCAAACAGTACACTAAAAATCCTCGTTTCCATTTTTGGAGTTCCTTTCAGTAAGCATAATTTTATATGGTATTATGCACATAGCTATTGAGCCACTGTGATCCTCTGCTAAGAATATCCTAGACATATTCTAGTTATTACAAATGACGGAAACCATGCAGCCTATGTTCTTTGGATCTGGCTTACTTTGCTTAACAGAATTTTTCCAAGTCTTTCCAAAGAAATGTACTTTTTATCAGACTAATGTAACTGTAACTCCTCTGTACATCACCTCTATCGTAACAATTTAAAAAAGATTTAAAGAAATTTTCCTCTTAAATTTCAGACCAAAACACACAAACACAGTAAGGTTGTCAAAGAAATGTGAAAACAACACTAATTTATAATTTTGCATGAAGTATACAAAGTGATATTGAAACTACATTAAAAACTAAATGCTTTTTGGTTGTTGTTATTTCTTTGGTTTTGCATTTTTAGTTTCCTGATTCATTTATTTTCCTCAGAGCATAGCAGACACAAAGGAAACTTTTAGGATGTTAAGAACCTACAATCAATCTTTAAGTATAACTAAAACTGGAAAACATACAATCAAGATCAATAACTAATGATTTGCAAGAAAACATCCCATGCTTTGTGATTTAGAGAAATCATCATTAGCCTGAAATATCAAAATCTAACATTACAAGCTAGTGGGCTTATTAAGATTCAAGACAGTAGCTAACCTAGAAAAAGTACTTACACTGGCTTTCCACAAAACTAAAGCAGGTCACCTTGATGTGTTAAGAATAGTAATGATATGGACTTGGAAGGTAGCTCAGTGGTAGAGCGCTTGCCTTGCATGCATGAGGCCCTGGGTTCGATTCCTCAGCACCACATAAGCAGAAAAAGCTGGAAGTGGTGCTGTGGCTCAAGTAGTAGAGTGCTAGCCTTGAGCTGAAGAGCTGAGGGACAGCACCCCACCCAGAGTTCAGGCTCATGACTGACCAAAAAAAAAAAAAAAAGAATAGTAATGATATATGTTAGAAGCTATGGCTTTTAAGTACACTTCTTTTGAGCCATGTGTGGTAGCACATGCTATTATTTCAACACTTGGGAGCTAAGACAGGAGGATCACAAGTTCCAGGCAAGGCTGAGCAATACAGGGCGCCTCAAAAGTAAATAAATAAGAAAACAAACATTTCTTTTATAACACAAGAAAAAAAATTTTTTAAGTTCATGAATTACAAAAGAAGTTACCCTTTGATGCTGTTGTTGGGAATATAAACTAGCATAACCACTGTGGAAAACAGTATGGAAGTTCTACAAAAAAATAAAACTATAGAGGGGCTGGGAATGTGGCTTAGTGGTAGAGTGCTTGCCTCCCATGCATAAAGCCCTGGGTTTGATTC